CCTTGTGCGACACATATGTGAATTCTATTTATACATGATATATGTGCATATTTCGAAAAGAGGTGGTGATAGATCTATTCCTCCCATGTACCATATGCTTGATGCATCATTACTTTATCTATTATTGCTATTGTATCATATTTTATTAAATTAAGTTTCTTTGCCACTATTAGCCCTCGAGTAGTTTTAATTTTATTTTTTTAGGGTTTTTCACATGGAGAGTCTATATTTTGTAGTTCATTCATTATAGGTAGACTTGTTCATGGGTTGGGTCGGGTTCAGGCTGGGCTTTGCCTTTACATTAATAGAATATGCTTAGGCCCTAGCCAGAAATTTGGAAAAAATATTTTTATTCGATTGAAAATTATTTTATTTATATTAAAAGACCTCAAAACCTAAAAAAAATATTTTTAATCGGACTTAATCATAAAAAATTATATTCAATTTTTATGATATTAAAAGACCTGTAAAAACTATTTATATCAAAAGACCTGTAAAATTTATATTCAATTTTATGTATTAAAAGATCTCAATACACGGAATTCTGGTGGCTCTCCCCATAAATAAAAACATAATACACGGCTTTGTAAAATCTATTTTATTTATAATAATAAAATATATTTTTATTATATAATACATTATCAAGTTAGGCTCGGGCTGGGCTTTTTTCAAAAAGCCTGAGCCCATGAGCTTGAAATCCTATCCAAGCTCAACTTAGATTGGGTTACCTAGCCCATGAATGGAATATCAAAGTTAGCATTAGGATTCACATAAAAATTTAGTTATATACTTTATGCCTTTATTATTTATTAATAATATTAATAATATTAATTTTTAAATTTTTTTCACCAAGTGCCTCGTATGGGCATAATTAGATTGTGTTTGGTAGGGTTTTTAATAAGTGATTTTGTGTCTTATTGCATATTTGCATCTTAGAAGCCAAACACACCCTTTTATTGAATTGCATTGACTAATTCTATTGAAAATAAATTTATCAAAAAAAAAACAAATTCTTAATTCATTTAAACCTATTTTTGGCTTGAAATTGAACTAGCATCGGTTTTTTGATAAAATAGTGGTAGAGGTGTAAATTGGTCTAGGCCGCTCGTGGCCTGGCACGATTTTGAGCCGGCCTGGCTCGATGGTTCATGGGTCGTGCTGAGCTTGGGGTTTCAGGTTGGCGGGCAGGGCTAGCATGGCCTACACTATCGTGTCGTGCCGCTTGTGGCCCGTGGGCTGGCTCGGCCTAGGTTGCGCTCGGCCCGTCCGAAGAACTAGCCATTGGAGACCCCCCCACAGCTAGTTTCAACTATTTTTTTTTTTGGGGGGGGGGAGGGTTATGGGAAATACCCCCCATAGCTATAAACAACTATATAAGGGGTGTTTATGTATTTTGGCTTTGGGGGAGATAAAATAACAATAATGCCCCCAACAACTATATAACAACTAGTTTAGGGCTATTTAGGTAAAGTGATAAATGACTTTATAATGACCAAATACCCATCTCAACAACTAAAAAACAACTACTTTTTAGGGTATTTAGGGAATTGAATTATTTTCAATTCCTATAAATAGCCTTATCCTCCACCATTCTCATCATACCAATTCCCATACTCTCTTAGTCTCTTAGTCTCATACATCATACTCTCTCTATTCTCCAATTCTCAACTTTATTAAAGTTTCAACAAGAAGAAGGTTCGCTCGGGTATTTCAAATTAGTAATTTGGGAGACTTGCAGGCTTCAACCGTTGGGATCAAGTTGAAATTCTGAACCGGCAATTCAGGCAAGTGCAATTAAATTAATTTTTACTTTTTTATAATTAAAAAATAGTCAGATCCTCTTCTCGCTCTCAACACCAATTCCTCAACGTAGTCAATGTCGATGATGTTGATGTCCAGTCGCAATATGATAGTGTTAGCGCCGATATGGATGTTACTTCTGATATTGCCAACGTTCCCACCCTTCATATTGCTACTAGAGGTAGGGGAGAGAAAAAGAACACTAGGTTGGGGAGAGAAAAAGAACACTAGATTGATTAGTTCAGTTTAGACAATATTTAAAATAGAAGAGGTTGTGGAGAAGGGAAAGAGAGTTATTTATCAAAAATGTAGGAGTGACTTTAGCTATAATAGTAGTGGTGGTACTGGCTATTTGGGTAGACATTTGAAAAGCCATTTAATAAAAGAAGAAGAAGGGAAAGAAACATCACAAGCACAAATAGTAAGTGAGATTTTTGGTACTTTTAAATATTCCCAAGAAAAAAATGAGGTAAGAATTAGCAAAATATATTGTGTCATCCATTTTTATTAGTTGAAGATACTAAACTTGAAAATTTTTTACGTAGATCTATAAATCCACAATTTAAAAAATTTTTTAGAAATACTATTAGAATAGATGCTTTAATTTTTTTATTCATATAAACAAAATTTAATTTCTATGTTATCAAATCTTAATTCTAAAATTGCAATTACTTCTGATATTTGGACATCTACATTTAACATAAGTTATATTTGTGTTACTGTTCATTTTATTGATGAAAAATGACTTTTACATAAAAAAAAATTTAAGTTTTACAAAGCTTGAATGGCCACAGTCTAGCCCATTTTTTGCTGTAAGTATTTTAAATACTTTACATATTTATGGAATTAAAAATATTTTTTTTATTAATTTTCATAATGCTAGTAATAATGATTCAACAATAAATATTTTAAAATTTCAATTAAAACCGTTTTTAGATGGTAAATTATTTCATATTACATGTGCATGTCATATTTTAAATTTATGTATTCAAGATGCTTTAAATATTATTTCTCATCATATTTCTAAAATTAGAAATTGTATAATATATATTTAAAGTTTTGGGGTAAGAAAACAATAATTTAAATATTATGTCAAAATTATGGTTTAAAATATAAACATTTTGTATTAGATGTTCAACATAGATGGAATTCTACATATTCTATGTTAGAAAGTTGCATTGCTTACAAACAAATTCTTAGTGATTTTTATAATGCAAAAATGCCACATGATCCTATACTTAGGAAGATTGGGAAATGTCAATTTGTATAAAAGATATTTTACAAATTTTTTATGATGCAACTAATGGATTTTCAGGTGTTTATTACTCAACTAGTTGTCTTTTAGTTAATAAATTATTTATAATTAGTGAATGTTTTGCAAAATATAAGAAAAATCCATAGTTTCAAAGTAGTATTGAAATAATGGAAAATAAATTTAAATAATATTGGGAGAAAATTTCTCCCCTTTATTGCTTAGGCTCAATTTGGAAGGAGTACAAATACAAATATATACACTATAAATCCATACAAAACAATATAAATTACATAGTTTTGCACTCTACAAATTTGTATTTTTACTCCTAATCCGAGCCTTAGTTGTAATATTAGATCATAGGATTAGGAAAGATGGTTTAGAAAATTTACTTGAATCATATTGTAAAAATATGAATATTGAAGTTGGAAATAAAATAGAAGTTAATAATTTATTATTTGAAATGTATGGTTTATATGAATCTCAAGTGAGTGGGCATAGGAAATCTTGTGCAGGTGAAAGTTTCACTTTTGAAACAGCTGGTTCCATTTCAAGTAGTAGAGACAAAATTTGGTCCCTACTACATAAGAGGCATAAATCTATTACCTGTTCATCAACAAGTTCATTTATTGAATTTAATTTTTATTTACAAGCAAATATTTCTACTTTAATTGATTCCTGCGACAGCGAGGGATGAGATAATTTTGATATTTTAGCATAGTGGAAATGACATGAAAAAAACTATCAAGTCCTTGCTGTCATGGCACGTGATCTACTAACCCCCTCCGATATCTACAGTTCCATCGGAGTGTTGTTTTAGTGCAGATGCTAGGGTGCCAGATGACAAGAGAAACTGTATGAATGATGAAAGTTTGGAGATGTGCAAATTCCTTAAATATTGGTTGGATGCTGAAGATAAGATTACAAGATAAAGGAGGGCATGGCATTACACATGATGTTTCACCTGAAGTAGATGATGACAATCAAGGAGATGATTAGATGAAGATGCAGGAGGTGGAACTTGAAAAAAATGACGAAGTCAATATTTTTTATTCTTTTGTGTACTCAATATTTCATTATTTCAATTATTGTATTTTTTTTTCAATTTTTAAAATTATTATAAAATTTTCAATTTTATTTATATTAGTTCTTATTTTTTCAACAATGTAATTTTTTATTTTCAATTTATATTTTATTCCATTTTCTATTTTTCATTAATCCATTGTCCATTGACCATTGTATTGCTCAAATTTAAGAAATAAAATTCCTATTTTTTCCAATTTGTTGTTCATTTTGCATTTTGTTAAGTATTTAAGTATTTAAGTATTTTTTTTAATTTCTTTGCTAGATTTTTTATTTTTCCAATTTATTCCCAAAACTCAAAGGAATTATTGAATTAAGAAAAAGTGAAGTGTTGTAGCAAAAAAATCAAAATGTCAAAAAAAAAAAAAGAAACAGTTTGACCCAATTCAGCCTAGGCTCAAGGCCCGGCCTAACACGGGCCAGGCCCACTACATGGCTCGCAACCAGCCCAACCTAGGCCCGTGGCACGGATTCACACGGGCTTGGGCCATAGACCATGGCGAGATGACCCCAAAATATCTTAGGGCAGAAAAACACGGATCTATCCAGCCCAAGAATCATACTTTGTACTCTCCATCCTCCACACCGGGTTCACGTAAAGGACATGTACGTGCTTTATGTAAGAACTGGTATAACATTAACGTGTTCACTCGTGATAAATTGGCCAGTCTTTGGCTCTTACAAAGATCAAAGATGGGATAATTGTTGAAATGTATTCAATTTTCAGTATGTAAAATGTTGAAAATTGATAAAATATAGAGAATAAATTGATTTCCAAACAGATACTTGACCGGATAAGCGCATCCACCCAGACCGAAACGCCAACGAGGCCTAATTAGGTAGAGTTCACTTTTGCTACGACACTGTCGTGGCGCAGGGCTAAAGCAAAAAATCATGTCCTTGATCTATTGCAGTGGCCCACCAAAAAAATCACTTCATCTATTTTAAGGTGGGGCCAAGACAGCAAATCAAAGGCTTAGGGAATCGAACTCTATAGACTGTACTGTACTGGTGTACTTAAGCGCATGCCATATATAACGACTAACAACTTTCACACTTGACAGTTCACACACGCTCGCTCCCTCACGCACCGCACCAATGGCGGAACCAAACCTGAATTCTTCCATCGACCCAAACAGCGGTTTTTGCTCAGAAACTAACACCTTCTTTAGCCTCCGGCCGCCTGTGCCCCTCCCTCCGGCAAATTTACCTCTCTCCGTTTTCCATTACGTCTTCTCTCTCCTCCGAACCTCTTCTTCCCTTGAAACCATCGCATTAATCGATTCCACCACCGGACACCGTCTTCCCTACTCCGAATTCATCCGCCAGACTCAAAACTTAGCTACTTCTCTGCAAACCCTAATCGGCCTCTCCAAGGGCGACACGGCTTTCGTACTTTCACCTGCCTGTCTTCAAATCCCAATCCTTTACTTCTCTCTCTTCTCCATTGGCGTAGTCATCTCTCCCGCAAATCCAACCGGCACAATCCCTGAAATCTCCCGCCAAATCGAGCTATGCAAACCGGTTATCGCATTCGCCACCTCCGAAATGGCTGACAAGCTCCCATCTCTCCGCCACCAAACCATCCTCCTCGACTCTCCCGAATTCCAGGCAATGATGACGACGAAGCTTGGGTACCGATTCGCCCCGGTCGAGGTGGCTCAGTCAGAGCCGGCGACGATCCTTTACTCGTCTGGGACTACTGGCTCAGTCAAGGGCGTGGTGTTGACTCACCGGAATTGGATATCCATGGTGGCCGGGATTTATGCATTCCTGCCAAAGAGGGCGTCTCCTGCGGTAGTGCTTTCAATGTCACCGTATTTTCACGTTTACGGGTTTCTTCACTGTGTGAAGTCGGTTGCAGTCGGAGAGAGCGTAGTGTTGATGAAACAGTTTAATGTGCGGAGGATGACGACGGTGGTGGAGGAGTTTAAGGTCACGCATATCGCGGTGGCCCCACCGGTGGTGGTTGCCATGGTGAAAGATGAGGTTGCGATGAGAGGCCGTGATTTGAGCTCTTTGGAGGTAGTGTTCTGCGGCGGCGCTCCGCTGGCGAAAGAAGTAGCGCTGAAACTAAAGGAACGGCTTTCCAAAGTGCTGCTTGCGCAGGTAAGTCTAGAGTGTTGAAGAGAAGTTTTCTTGATCAAATTGAACGGTCCTGATTGAGATAATGAGATGCCACCCTTATTGAGCAGTGCTACCATCATCACCGTCCTTCAGTCCTTCCTTGGCCATCACCGAAACCTTAACCCGTATGGGATCCGTGAGCGTGATGGCCAAACCCGTGATGGTGGCATTCATTCGTTTTAGGACTTGGGTTGGGTTGGGCCTCTTGACTCTTGAGTCTTGGCAATGCTATTGTTACACGTGCGTTTTTGACACGTGTAACTTAAGGTTTCATGGCTAATAAAGTAGTTTAGAATGGCAACGGCCAATGGGGCAGGCTGACATGTTCTAAACCTGCTCTAGAGGGTTTAACCTAATACCATACTCTAATATATAAAATTTATACGCTTTTCAATGGGTTGGGAGGATTGGTTTAACCTGATACCATACTCTACCCGTACCCTTACACGTACCCATATGAATGTTAGAATCCCAAAACCTGTCTCTGCCCCAAAACCCGGGCGGGTAGGAGTGAGTACCACCGGGTAGAGTAGAAATTGCCAACCCTACAGCTATCCCACAAGAATTGATTCAACTAGTATTAGAGTCTTGGTGTCAAAGGTTGAGTAACAACGTTGGTTTGTCTTTAATACGACCCAGGGTCTGTAAACTGTAGGCTGTAGCCAAAACTGAAGGACCTGTTCCACTGCCATTTCATAGCTTCGCTACTAGGAATTGGTAGAGTGGCATGAGAAACTTCACAACCGGGATTACTGCCACTGCTGTCATGCAGAATTACATTTTGCCACATGGTGTATACAATACTGGCTAGTGGGCACAAAAGGATTGGTCACTGAAATGCTTATGAAATGATTGGTCACTGAAATGACCTTCAAAGATAGGCACAAAAGGGTGCAGCTCTTCTGCACTTTACAGAGTCATTTTGATGACAACTAATTTCATTAACATTGCTCTGCCATCGACTTTGAAGCGAAAAAGAATCCATAGTGGTTTGTGATCTTGGTTGCAGACCTGGGGTCTATTCCATTACCAGGGTTCTTCCATAAAGCCGAGTTGTTTCTTTGCCTTCCAGTTTGATGAGTCTGTCAGCAACACCATCCAACCACTCCCCGCCCCGCCCCCCCCCCAAAAAAAAAAAAAAAACTTATTTATTGAAGAAAAGAAAGAAACTGCTAGCTCATGCCTCATGGTATGCTAGACAAATGTTAGTAAAGTTTGGGAGTTTGTCCAACACTTTGCTGATGTTCTTTCGTTGACACTAGAGATCAGGGATTGCTTAAATTAGCCCCCCAGACATAATGTCAGCGTGACCAGCTGATATTAAACCATATTAGTGCTTTTTTTCAGAACTTCTTTCTAAAGCTTCTGTTAATTTTCCCTCAGCATGAACACAGACACACAGTAATATAACACAATACACAGATAGTCTAACTGCTACACAATATATATATCTTAGATATGACTTATTCAATGATGGTATTTATCTTGTTTCTAATAGAGACACTTGTTAAAAAAACAGGGGGTTTGACATCTCTAATTTTGACCTTGAGACAACAATTCCATGGAGTAAATTCTACAAGTCCAGTGTGTGTGTGTTTTAAATTATCCTACCTTGATTGGAATCATTGGATGCACTAATATTTCCCATATCTTCACTTAAATTTGGTTGGTTTATTAATAGATAAAAGTCTAAAATTGAAAGACAAATGAAATGAGAAGACATTCATTGCATCGACATATGCTGACATAAATGTCATTGTGGTTAAATGGTGATAATACTGATAGGCATATGGATTGACTGAATCGACTGGTGGAGTCTTCCGAACAGTGAATTTGGAAGAAAACTGTCCAATAGGCTCTGCAGGACGGCTAGCAACAAACTATGAAGCCAAGATCGTTGATCCTCAAACAGGCATTGCTTTGCCACCATATATGCAAGGGGAGCTTTGGATTAGGGGGCCAACAATCATGAAGGGTAACAGTTTCTATTCTTATTTGTTCTTGATTGAATGTTGTACATGATCTTTTTAATAGAGCCAAAGAAATCCCTATTACATAGAAGTATCCACAAGAATTCGTGGGGTGTCAAACTCTGTTGCATATATGACATGGACACATTATTCATATGGGAGAGTTCATGCAACACTGGTTAAGATTGGTGAATAAGTTCTCTATATGTACAATATGATTATAGGGTTCTTATGATTAAAGGTTGTTTCTTTTTATTCTTTATCCTTTCATTTTGAATTGATCAAAGGCCAGATCCTTACTCTTTTTACTTCAATCGTGAGATGTTTTCAATAGTGTAGTTTACATTGGTGAGTGGTGACAACAAATTAGCTGCTGCAACCATTGCCCCAGATGAATGGTTGAAACCTGGTGACCTTTATTATATATACAAATACAATAATTGTTTCCTATGCACATACTGATTTAGTGGTTAAGTTTGGTGAATAGGTGGTCTACACGTACAGTATGATTAGGCGATTCTTCTTCTTCTCTTTGTTTACTGTTGAAGAACTTATTTGTGGCTGCATCCTTACTCTGTTTACTTGAAACTGTTTGCGATTGTAGTGTAGGTTACATTGGTGACAATAAAGCGACCGCTGCAACTGTGGATCCAGATGGATGGTTGAGAACTGGTGACCTTTGTTATATAGACAACAATGGTTTCCTTTACATTGTAGATCGATTAAAGGAATTAATTAAATACAAGGCTTATCAGGTAATCATTGGCAACCTGTTAAATGGTGACTTTTTTGCTTTTTGATTTCTACTACTTGTTGATGATGTGGAGGTGGCAGTGGGGGATTGGGTTAGTTGTTTTTTTCCCTTCTTTTTGGTAACTTTGGGAGTAGTAGATGTTATGCCTATAGAACACTTTGCATAAGTCAAAGAACAAGCAGAAGACAAGATAGTTAAGGAAAGCTCCTCTAACTTATCTTAAAAAATGTATTGAAGTTTTCCCGTTATCATAGAAAAGAAATAGGTTATTTTATTAGTAATCTAGGCTTTGAATATTTGGAATACTGGCTTTTAAGATGGTAAGGTGATTAACTTACTACCAAGGTGTAGGAAGAAAAACTACTCTTTCCACTTAGGCATTAAATTTTCTGCCTGTCCAACAAAGGAAAATGAGAAAAAAATCAAGGGATGCTTTGTCTCTCTCTCTCTCTTTTGATATCCTCATTGGCAAGAAAAATCAAGGAATGCTGGCATGCAACATCAGGGTACTTTGCACTTATCTCTATGCCACCATAGACATAGTGGGACCACAAAATATAGGTGACACACCTTGGCATTGCTTGCTAGCATTATTCTAGAAAACCTATCCAACCAATACCTGGATTTTAATTCAGTGTTTGTATGATTGACATCATGTAGGTTCCCCCTGCAGAGTTGGAGCATTTGCTTCAGTCACACCCAGACATCCTTGATGCAGCTGTGGTTCCGTAAGTATTGTCAACTCAATTTTAATAACATTCTGTTTGGATCCACTTCATTTTGATTTTGGTTTTATATTAGGGCATAAGTTAACCATCTAAATGGGAGACTTCCCAGGTTGCTAATAAAATATTGATATGTGGTCATTTCAAGAGATATTATTTCCAATTTTTCTTTGGTAGCATTTCATTATCATGGTATGCCAGCTAGAGTAGAGTCTGTTATTTCCAGTTGTTATGCCAGAAAAAAAGAGTTGGAAGCTCATTCTTGGAATCCTGAAATGTCCTTGTATCTTTAATTGGTGGTCTGAGTTGCCTTAATTCTAAGTTTTGAACTTTGAATTTATGCTCTTAAATGTAATGGAAAACCACAATGAAATCATTTCATTCCACATTTATATGCACCATCAGTGATTAACTAGATATAAGGTATAATTGATGTCAGAAATTCATGTAAAAAGTACCACAAGATCTTGAGATGTTACTCAGTGCAACAAGTTAAGTTGAAATAGCCTTTTGGATGCAGATATGTATAAAATTCTGCATATAATGTAAAGTATGACAATCTAATGCAACACAAAATGAAATGGCAGGTTCCCTGATGAAGAAGCTGGCCAGGTGCCCATGGCCTATGTTGTGAGGCAACCATTAAGCACTATTGATGAAAGTCAAATCATTGATTTCGTTTCTAAACAGGTAGTCTCCCTCTTAACTCTTTTTAATAAAGTGGAGTATAAATTGGATACACCTCAGACTTGGACTCAGAACAAGGTCAAGCCCAAGTTTGCCAATCCAAATCCCACCTAAGCTAAATCTAACACAACTTGGAATGAGCACAGGTGGAATTGGTCAGGTTTGAGTGGGTTGTTTAGGTTTGGAAGTCTCTCTTTTTTTCTGTAGAAGGTTTGGAGGTCTCATCACTCATAATTTTACTTTTTATCTCTTATTTTGGTTTTTGCATAAAGTTGGATACCACTACAATTATAAAACTAAAATTAAGCTATCTATGAGAAATGGTGTTTTTTTTTTCATTTTCTCTGATTTTTGCTTAATTAGTTATATATCATCATTTATTTTGATTCTTATATCTCATAATTACTTAAACATTATAAATAATCATTAAATTAAAGTTTATAACTTTGTTCTTAAAATCTTCCATAGTTCTCAAACACTTCCTTTTGACATGGACATAAAATCTTTTTCCACAATCTCTTGCCAAATTTCTATTTAATCAATGCATGGGCTCATGTAGAATTAGGAAAGAAGAAATGAAACTATGAAAGGTAGGGTAGGAAATGTGAAAAATAAGGGCATAATTGGTATTAAAATGTTTGGGAATTGGACCAAATAGAAAGTGAAATCTCTTTGCAAACGGTATGTAATAGACTAGATAATAATAGATGTATTATGCCCAACTGTGGAAAGATCATATTGACAGATTTGTATTGAAAAAAAAATGAAAATCATGTTGACAGCTGAACTTTTTAAACTTCCATTAGGAATCCAGTTACCCAAGAGACAGAAGATTCAAGTTTGACAGTTGACAACATTCATGCACATGATTTCTTAAGTCTTAAAGTTTCTTCTATCCAGTTACCTAAGAGACAGAAGATTAGAGGGCACACATATTTATTCGTGTGTCATTCTACTGCATTTACTCACTACATCAACAAGTCCTTCAAAAGTTGAACTAATAATTGTTGTGATCTTTACAGTTGGTGCTAAGATACCTCTTATTGGTTGTAGGTTGCCCCATATAAGATGGTAAGGCGAGTGTCTTTTGTTACTTCTATACCCAAGAATGCTGCAGGTAAAATATTGAGGAAGGAGTTGATGAAGTTGACACTCCCAAAGCCAACTTCTAAATTATAAGTTGTTAACATTTGCATCTTCTACCAGAGATGTTTTACAGCCTGAAAGGGCTATTGATAAGAGATGAGTGTTCTTGTCCTTGTTCCCATCCTAGAGATCCGTTGACAGTGCATATCACCTCTTCACTTCATCAGTTGAGTTACTATCATAAAAGGTGATAAAGAACCAATATGTACGCAGACATGGTCTGCATGTCCTTTTATTCTTGATTGTCTCATTAAGCTTCAAAAAGAGAAAAAGAATAGCTTCATTGCTTTAGTTTCTTCTGATGTGAAAATCGTGAAACACTTTTCAAAGGTGGGGTCATGGTTGTGCCATTCTGGTCTTTACAAAGTCGCTATTAGTTTTGCTTATTTGTTTATATTTTTTACTTGTTCTGGTAGGGCCATGGCTTGGTATGATGGCAAAATCTCAAGCTGATAAGCATGAAAATGCAGCTTCAGTCTAGCATTGGGTAATGGGTAATGATCTATTTATTTATTTATTTATTATTTTTTTTGTAGTTAAATAACATTATTATACTAACAGTCATGGATTGGTTTAGTGAATAGTATGGCTACATTACATTATTTGTCCCAAGTAGAAAGCCAGCTGGACTAGCTCGGAAGCTGGTCTACACAAGGTTCAGAGTTATTGGTATCACATATAGAATTGGGAAGTCTGTTTTAAGAGACATACCAAGATATGTTTTTAGGGAAACTAAAATCTTAGAAATACACACACTATACCTAAGGTATGAATTCATAAGAAACACATACTTTATGTGTTAGTACTTGGTAATACATGCATTCAATATATAAGACATAGTATTACATAATGATTTCACTAATAATGCAACAACAAATGACTTGACTTTCAATTTATTAAAAAGTTCAATTAGACACCTTAAATATGCTGATAAATTATAATATAATTAAATGAGCAACCAAAACTATGAAACAATTACAAATTCATATGTACAAAGATAAATTTATTTGTTTATTAATTTTCTTTTCCTAATAAAATTTTTATTTACCTTCAAAAAAAAATTCATTGGTCATTACAAGTAAACTTAAGTTATTAGTAAAGAATGCATTAAAATTCCAAGGGGGACCCAGAAAATTGTAAAAGGTTGATGGATCCATGTATACACACATACACTATGCAAAACACAAGAAAGATAAATTGTTTTTTTTTTTGTAATTTTTTTATCTTTTTTCTCAAAAAAAAAAAAATTGTGTATATATATACAAGAAAATGGTTAGGTAATTGTGTGGAAAACATAAAAAAGGGTTTGCAAGCATTAGAATATGCCTTGAAGTCTGAGAACCCTCCCAAGACCTCAGATAGCTAAGGCCTAATGTTAGGTAACAGCCTTTTGTTGATAAATACGAGCCATTTACTCAGGCAATAAAAAAACATCATAGATTAAGCTAAGCGTCCAAACATGTAAATCTACAACTTGAAGGATTAAATTAGAAAGTTGTAAAAAGTTTAAGTTTTCTTGTTTTGTCGTCAAATTCCTCATATTACTTCCCCATCCTTTTAGAATTTATGTTGGGCATTCTATTAACAGCTGTCTCTTCCCTAATCTGATAACCCAAAAAAGGCATATTGCACCGTGTTGGTATTTAGTTCTGGTGGCGTTTTGGTGTAAAAAAGGGACCCAAGAAACCTGTGGCAAAGTGATTTTGGCATGTCTTTAACCTTTGCATTTTTTTTCTGGGAGGGGGGGGGGGGTGCTTTAAGATGAAAGTAGTTGTGCGAGAATTGGGATTTGCTCCTCACACAGGTGCCTCACACCAACCTCACATGCACATCTCACCATGCATTGGGAATATCTCCTGTGAATAATAACGTACAAATAAGGAAGATGTTCCCAATGCATGGTTGGTTGTGCCCGTGAGGCGTCCTGTGTGAGAAGCAGATTCGGTCTCGTTGTGTGATATAATTGCACCGTGTCATAGCGTATTGGTGCATAAAAACGAATATGGCGTGATACACACTGGTACTAAGGCTGAGTTTGGAAGGAGTACAAACGCAAATATGTAAAATACAAAACCTTATAATTTATATTTTGTATGTATTTATGCTGTACATATTTGCATTTGTACTCTTTCCAAACTGAGCCTAATTGACATGGGACTAAGGAAACAATGGTTCTGAAATTTGGCAATATCTCTACCGTGCCACATAGCAACAGCGAACAGCTTAAAAAACCTAGGTCCACGCTCGGTCAGGAGTTTCAATTCCCGAAATTCAGCATCAGATGGTACCCCTAAGCAGGCTATATTGTAGTCTGGGCATCAGCTCAGTTTCTCACAGAATGTTATCTCGACGCATCAAGTCCTGTGTGATTGCTCAAATACAATATCAATCGTGAAATTCCTTCATGTAGAGTGAAATTCCTTCACTCTACATGTCTGACTTAACTCAAAGTGTTTCCACCGTCGTCCAACTGTAAACAATTGATGTTGATTCGTGAAATGCAGAATTCACAAGTCCCCAACCACGAGCAGTCTGAGGTCCTGATACCAGTCCAACAACCAGACACCTATAAATTAAGTCACAAAATAAATATTGGCTTTCTTAGGGTGCAAATTGATCCCTTAAAATGCCAAAACAATTGCACAAACAAATGCCTAGACGATGACTACACAGATCAAAGTTTCCAAGGAAGGGTTGTTTGATAACCCTGAAGGAAAAGTAAAAGAAACACCAATTATTTTTGAAGTGTACATAATACATCAATTATAAAATGACATGTTCCAAGACAGAAACAATGAACAGCCAAAAGAAATTCAAGATCAGTGCAGCTGCACAAACATTCATTTTCAAATATGTACATCCACATCAACAGAGGATAAAAATCTAAAATGCAAAAATTGACAATTTCAACAAGTGTACCTGTAATGTCCGACAATCTCCTTGTTGAATAAACAGATGAGATTATAATTTAGCTGATGCATAGGAGACCGAACGGTCAATCAACTCCCTTCTCGAGATCTTTCCCGCAGAGGATCTTGGAATGGTATTGATGAAAGCAACTCGGCGTATCTTCTTATATGGGGCTACCTGTGGAATAAAACTAATGAAACAACATCTACAAATATGCAAATTAAATTGAGACTGCAACTAATTACTAATGTGGGTAAACGAAACTAGGTCAGAGCCTACCTTGGCCAGAGAAATGAGAGATTAAATAATCAGGGAAGAGATGCTCTTAGTATTAGCATGTAATTAGGCTAGGAAACTTGATAGGTTTACTAAAGTAAGCTCGTGAAAGGTGATAAGCTGATCAAGATTGATTTACAATCCTGCGAATTCAATAGGTAGACATAGAACCAAATTAAAAGCAAAAGCAGAAGTTAAATCATCCAATTTAAGTTCAAACTCAGACACCTATTAAGAAATGAGATCACTAGTGATCAATATTCATAACATTAGGCAGAAACACTTTAAAAGGTCCTGGTTAGGGGTTTGAACCAGGAAACCCAGTGGGAATATGACCTGAGTGAACCTGGTGAGCCAGCTGACTTAATAAATAAGCCAAGAAAAAATTATTTAATGTGAGTTCCAGTTTGACAGTCTACCAACCACAATTTGGCAAGTTCAATGACTGAACTTCATTTTGATGCACACATTGTGAGCTTCTGTCTGATAATGGGTAGAAAACCAACTGAAGATCCAGAATAACATCTATGTACTCCTTGACATGTCTTCAACACTAGTTTATATCATATTAATCTCTTTTCTGATACAATGTACATCATAGAGAAATACTACAAATCATGCCAATCCCACGATGTTGTAAATTAAATGAATATTTGTGCATACAAATAACTATGCATATTTCAACGTTTTTTTATGAAATCTTGGGCTGTCAAGCATGGGAATATGGAATCGAGTCTGAGAGCAGTCACTTTGTGCAAAAAAATGCCACAGGTTAGGACTGTATCCAGTCTACCCCTCCCAAGACCCCAGATAGCTGGGACCAACATTAGGTAATGTCCTTAGGCATTTTTTTCAACATATTTTATGATTTTTTTTTTGGATTCTACTATTTTCACACATCACATTTGTGCATGTACTTCAAAATGTAAAGGTTAGGAAGTTTCAGTATACAATAATGTCTCAGTTGTGGAAGTTAACATGCCTGTTTAGCTACAAAATCCATTACTTCAGCTTCATTAAGATTGCTTCCAGCTTTTCGTACTATAAATGCCATGGGAATCTGCCCAGCTTCTTCATTGGGGTAACTGTCAAGACATGATACAAGCAGAAGAAATGGCATGAATCTGTATTATGTAAACATTATTCAAAAAAAAAAGACAAAGAAGCTTACATAGAGAATTCAATCTAGCATAATGGAACTGAATTTGACTGTTAGAGAATAAAACCCTATTCAGGGACCACACCTAAAAACTTAAGCTTTTAGATTGAATGGTTCCTTGAGATGGAACCAAGTCCTGTTTGACCAAGAGGGTGTTTGGTTCCATTTACGTTTATTGAATAAACGTTTTGTACTTGTGTGGCTGCAAAACCAAGAAAAGCTATTAATGTGGGCATTTATGACACATAGGCACCATTAGGCACCACATCAACAAAGTGCCAATAAATGCCTACCCATTTCAGGAAGCTCCAAAATGAAGATTCCTGAAACGGGAGAATCACACAGAAATCGATGCTTGCTTTTGCAAACATTGATTCGTATGGAAACAATTAATGAGGCTTTTGCTAATGGGGTGCTAAGTGATCTAGTGTTTGATCCTGATCGCCCCCATTGTAATTATATTTCAGAACAAGGTATGGGTGGGCCTGTGTTTGTCTACACTTCAAGTCCAATAGGCTTTTTCTAAGGGGGTATGTTAGAGAATAAAAACCTATTCAGGGACCTTACCTATCAGCTTAAGCTTTTAGGTTGAACGGCTCCTTGAGGCAAATAGCAAAAAGATTGTGTTAAGGGTTTTCTCTGCTTGTAAATCTGTACCTAATTAACTAATTGGTTTTACTCATCCATCACATTTTAAGTTTCAAGCAACAAGAAGCATCAGCAATATTGTTGTCTCCCTGTTAATTGACCTTCTATCTTTTGGCAGAGTACAACACCAAGTGCTCTCTCTCTCTCTCTCCATTTAAAGTTTTATAAGTGCTTCAGAAAGAGACATTGGACCAGAACTTGTCACTTGTAAATTGTAGTACGCCAAAGGACAAGATAAATGCACTTTGAGATAACCCAGATGAAGTGGGATTAAACATAACGAATCAGGAAAATAAGATGTAGCAAAAATATGGCCACAGATGTTGGGTGGACAAATAGCCTGCAGAGCTTCAAATTTCCATGTATGAGATGAATGATCAACAAGGTCTGAAGAAATCTGGATTGTCTTGGCTGGGGGTCAAAATAAAACAGGTTTAGAATGGGAAGTAATAGAATCCAATCATCTGCAAAGAAAATACAACAGTCTCTCAATAATATAGCATATTGTAGAAACTTGGAAGGTTCTCTAGTTTGCATGTTTGTGAAGGTTGTGATGACTCAGATGTGTGTTTCAGAATGGATGAACTATACCACTAGGAAGGATTAGTAGGGGCTAGATCAATAAGAGGGGAAATCTTCATAATTGTCCTATATCTTATGGGGGGGATTTCAGTCACATATTTGCCATAGTGAGAAGAGACTTTTAGAATTCTCTTAAAGAGGACTGAGATGCATCCAAATAATTCATTTTTCCCTGCATTTTTGTATAGGCATCATAATGTCACATTTGCTGCATAGTGTAATATGTGTTGTAAGATGTACACTTTGGGCCATTCCCGAATATTACTTCTGGCTATATGGGGTCTTGTATGCTTAACATTGCTCAAAATTAAAAGGAGAGAACATATAGAAATACATAATATGATAGCAAAACGTTCTATCAGGTACATACGGAATAACAGCAGCATCGGCAATTTCTGGATGGGATTGGAGTAAATGCTCCAGCTCAGCTGGGGGAACCTGCATTTTATTCCAGATTGCATAAGCTGAAGGCACAAATAATTGCCAGAGACCTCTTTTTAAACATTAGTTCAACTACCTGGTATGCCTTGTATTTTATCAGTTCCTTCAACCGATCAACGATGAAGAGATAGCCATCTGAGTCAAAATAACAAAGATCACCAGTCTTTAACCAACCTTCTGGATGCAAGGTAGAAGCAGTTGCTTCATTGTCTCCTACATAACCTGAATTTAAACACTTTGTCAATTCAATAAGTAGAGTAATGGTTTTGAAAGGAAAAACATAAAATTGCAGATATTTGGTGAGTACCAATAGTGGGGCGACAGTCAATAGTGCACACATGAAAAGTACTTCTATCAGCACTGGGTAAAACTCAACTTAAAAACCAAAGTTGACCTTGTATTGGAATTCTTACATAAATGAGATGGTAAAGGGCGGACCTACAGTGAATCATAACAATGGAGTCCCCAAGCTTCAACTTCTCTTTTAGGGGGAAATGCATTGCAAGAGCCAATTGAACTTTCAATCTAAATTAACATATAAATGGTATATATGGAATTGAGAAAGTGAATTTGTGAGAAATTATCAAGAGATCCTGAATCATATGCTTTTATCAGTTTATGTAGGCTTGATTAATGAGATTAGAGATAGGGGTGCAAGTTGGGCCGGGTTTATGGTCAATCCGGGCCCGACCTAAAATTTGGTCTTAAGGCCCAAGCCTGAGGTCAAGCCCAATTTTCCCAACCCGAGCCCAGCCTGGACTGTAATTTAAGAAACTCGGGTTGGGCTCGGGCCCGGGCCGGTCTTGGGTTGGTCAATGAACCCACTCTAAATTCTAAAATTATACATATATATGTATTTATGCAAATATGTATACATATATTTATGAATATATGTATGTAAATAGGTATATATATGTGTGTGTGTGCGCGTAATTAACATATATATACATATGTGTGTAGTTGGGCTGGGTTCAGGCTACCTAAGGGCTAGGCCCGGGCCTGGCCCAAAAAATAGAAAAGCCCAATTTCTTGGGCCCAAGCCCAGCCTGAGGACCGGAAATTCAAGCCCAGCCCGTGTAAAATTTCAGGCTGGGCCGGTTCAAGCTTGTATTGGGCCCCGCCCAAGTTGCACCCCTAATTAGAGAGGGGAATGGGGATAAATGCAAAGCCACAGATTGATGGAGATATGCATTACAGTAAAAAAGTTTTAAGATAAGCAGGACCAAGGAAGAATACATTATATGAAAATTTTAGTGGGAATAGGAACAGAAAAACTGGTACAATTTCAATTGTCGATGAAGAGATCCTGAAAAGCAATTATCTGGATGATGAATAAATTTTGAAGACAATGTTGCTCATAGAACTAGAGCAAGGTGGTTGAAATGGATAAGCACATCCAGTGTGCTATATGATTGCATAAACAAATGAGGCTAAAAAGAAAGTCTCGTAAGACGGTCATATTACAAGCAATTCTAGATAGTGTTGGGTAAACAGGAAGCAACAAGCTTAGAAAATAAGTATAAATAAGACGAGTAAGAAAACTAGAAATGCTTGTATCCATAAAGACAAAAGAGTAGTCCCAACAGATGACAAGATGAGGGGAAGTCGACTGAAATAGTTTAAGGATGTAAAAAGAAGATCAATAACAGCACTAACTAAAGACATGGCTCTTGGTGGAATTTAATGGCTGATCAGGCTTTGTGAAGTTGACAAAAAATTGTTGGGATACGGTTTTGTTGTGTTGAATTGAGCATATTACTGACAGTATTGTTCAGATTTCCATGTTCACCTATTATGATTGTTGGATAATTCATCATCAGACTTATTCTTGCTCTGCTAAGTAGTAAAGGTTAGACAAGACTAGTTCAAACAGCCACAATCTGAAACAAGAAAGATATGTAGCAATTTACAGATGGGATCACGCGATACCTCTCATAATGGTAGGTCCTCGCAGCCACAGCTCCCCTTGTTGTCCTGGAGGCAACGCCTCCCCAGTGACAGGATCAATTATTTTGGCCTCCATGTTCTCAGTTAGGCGTCCAACAGACCCATATCGCTTGTATTCCTCCGGCCCAAACAGCCTTGCTGCCCCACCAGTTGACTCGGTCAAACCGTAACCCTAAGGAGAGAATAAAGAAAGTCCCTTACTAAAATTGCATACTGAGAGCTTCCAGGTCATTTTCATACATTGTTTAGACTATCGCTATGTGAATTTATCACATCAACGTTGATAGAGAAAAGGTCATGAAACAGAAGAACAATGCAACACCCCGATTATAAATGCATCTAGAATCAGGCAGGTTTGACAGATACATTGCTCATGAGCTGAGCTCATCTGGTGTTTGAACTTCGAAGTGTGTTTGCTTTACAGCTTTACTTTGCTTCATCAAGGATGTGATTGATTAGAAAAGTATTCTGCCGCCTTCTCATTTTTTCAAGGTGCCACATTCAAGCGGGCCTCGACTTCAAAGAGGTGATTCAAGAATTTTCTCCTGCCCGAAATTCTAACCATCCCATTGTGTTTTCTGTATAAAACGATGATGTGACAAATTCTGATATTCAAGAAATGGTCATCAGATGAATTCATACCACCATACCCAATATTATGGTGGTAATGCCCGTTTATGCACAAGAGCAGACTAGTTTTGACTTTAGGAAAGGGATTGATTCCCCAATCACCTCTTCTTCACATTTCATATTTCTTAGTCCTAGGGCATCGCAGTCGATTTTTTTTTTAAATAAAGAGATTTTCATTTTCTCTGTAATTAACCTGCATTTTTGGATGGCTGCCAAATGTTAGGGTGACCGATTAAGTAGGAAAGCAACATTTACAAGTGACAAGTTCTGCTCCATTGTATTTACTATTTACCCGGCTCGACCCATGATCACCCCTCCAAAGCGGGTAGGGTAGGACAGGTCTTTTCTTTCATTGTTGGTAATTTGGTAACAGCACAAAAGATGGAAACACGACGGAAGTGTAACGTGGGCCGTGCTGGTCCGGGCCAGCCGACCACACAAGATGACAAGACAAGACACGAACCCGGGCCACTTGGGATATTGATCTGAGCAAAATCAACGGCGAGGATTCCCGTATTGACTATACAAAACCTGACAACCCGATGGAATAGAGTAGAGAGAGACGACCAGTCGACCAATAAGGCTGTGTTTGGTTTGAAGGAAAAGGTAGGGAAGCACAGCCTAAGGCAGTAGTAACATTACCTGCGTTATCTCCACATTCGGAAACCGAGCGAGAAACTTATCGGCGACCTCCTTTCCCAGTGGGGCTCCGCCACATCCCAACAACTGAAGTGAGCTCAGGTCGTACTTCTTCACCACATCCGACTTCGCAAAGGCCAGCATCAGCGGCGGCGAAACCGGCATGTATGTAATTCGATATGTCTCTACCGCCCTCAGCATTCCTTCAAAGTCGAATCTCTCCATTAACACGATCGTCTCCGTCAATGCCACCGCCCTCACACACATAAAGAGCCCGAAAACATGAAACAAAGGCACCGTGATCAGCGAGATCGACGGTGCTGGGTTCTCTTCAACGACCTCCGCCCTGATCGCATATAATCCGGCAAGCAAGGCGATGAAGTTGCGGTGAGTCAGCAGCACGCCTTTGACTCGCCCGGTCGTCCCCGATGAGTAGAGAATCGCTGCCGAGTCGGACTGGTTGACCACGACCTGCTTGATTTTCCGCCTTCCAACCGTCGTCATCATGGAGTGGAAATCAGGCGAGTCGATGAGAATGATTCGGTGGCTGAAAGCGGAAAGCTTTTGAGCGGTGGCGGAGGTGGCGAAGGCGATTGCTGGTTTGCTGAGATCGATTTGGCGGGAAATTTCGGATGTTGTGCTGGCCGGATTGGCGGGAGAGATGACGACCCCGAGGGAGAGAAGAGAGAAGTAGAGGATTGGGATTTGGAGACTTGACGGGGAGAGGATGAAGGCGACATCGCCCCTGGAGAGACCGATTGTAGATTGCAGGGAGGCGGCTAAGGCTTCGACGTGGTGGATGAATTGGGAGTAAGAGATGCGGCGGCCGGTGGAGGCGTCGATGAGGACGGTTGTGTTGTCGAGGGAGGAAGAGCTGGTGCGGAGAAGAGAGAAGACGTAGGACGCGGTGGAGAGAGGGAGATTTTCCGGAGGAAGGGGAACAGGGGGCCTCAGGCTGTGGAAAATCTTGGTTTGTGGGCAGAAGCCGCTCTTCTGAAAGATGGAGTGATGAGAGTTGGTTTCCTCCATGTAATCGTTTGTAGTTTAAAAGTTGCAGAGTTAGAACGGAAGTATCAAGTATGGTGGTGCTCACGGAGTTGAAAGTGTGTGATTTATTTATCAGATTTACGCTCTTTGTCGAGCATTGCTTGTCCCAGTTTGAATGAATGGTTCCAATTTGACATTAGGTAGAATTAAATAACGGATCGTTTACTAAAGCACCACCTCTATTTTTATGGATTTACTAAAACTATCATATACTTTCTTGCAAGGAATTAACTTAATCAACCTTCTATTACATATGCAAAATGACATATTAATTTCTATTTGAATAAATTTAATCAAAAATAAAATATCATTTTTGCCCTTGACAAGCAAAATCATTCTATGTGGTCAATCTTGTATTATTATAAAATGACAGAACAAATTCTTCGTTGCAAATTATGAAGGGTATTTTAGTAAACTGAGAAAGGCTTAAACGCCGAAACACCAAAAATTTATCATCAAGATAGGACTTAGGAGATAACCAAAGACGGGGAGAGCAGTACCAAATATCGTTGAAAATGGACAAGAATTCATAATGAGCAGAGGATCGATTCGAAGCAAGTAGGGAGGGTTGAATTGAAGATCAAGGTAAAGCTACTTCAGGCTTCAGCTGCTGATAAATTATTAAGGAGGCTGAGCCAAACAGACCTTTAAATGATTCACTGACAGCTGATTTATCTGGATTTTGTTTAGGTTAGTTGTTCGTTGGGTCCACCTCAAAAAGCTAAAAAGCCTCTGCGATTCAGCAGCAAGCCACGAAATCATATTTACCCGTAAGCTGTCCATATTAGGGCTGTTCATGAGTCGAGTTGGGTCGGTTTATTGCGATTTTTCCAATCGATTCGACCTGGTCGGGTTATCTGACATAGAAACCAAAACCGACCCAGTGTTAAGCAAAACCGACCTGATCGGTTTGAGTCGGATTGGGTCGGTTTAGGTCGATTTTGGTTCTAAGTTCACCCCTTTGATAAAATCTTGCTAATTTTAAAAAGTCATAAATTGAACATCATTTCAGCCATTTCCTATGATAAAATTTAAATGAAAAGTTAATCACAAAAGTTGTTCATTAATCACTATTCACTAATCCAAAGTTTCTTGCAACCATTCAAAAACTAGGTGGCCTAATGGGCTTTGGAACTTCATGTTTGAACTAGGAACTAAGTCGGTTTAATTCGGATCAGTTTCGGTTTTCTTGTGTGAAAACCGAAACCGACTCAAGTTATCGATTTAGAAATTTGCACAACCCGAAACCGACCCATACTGATAAAAACCCAGACGACTCGAGTTGGGTCGGTCAGTTTGGTCGAATTGGGCCTTCTTATGAACAGCCCTAATCCACATACTTCCAAATGTGAAGGAAGAATTAGTCTCATTGGTTTTCAGGACTTCACATCAGCGCCCCACAACATCACAAAGCACATCCCAACCGTGTAATAGGAATATCTCCTGATGATAAGTACGAGAGATGGTTCCAATATACGGTTGGCATTTGTTGTGGGGCGCTGATGTGAATTCGGTTTTTAGTTACCTGAGTAAGTGCATATTCAGCAAAGATATGGAAGGGAGAGAGAGCTTAGCAATATCATGCAGCTAATAAGCGAATAATTAAGTAAGTTATATATCCGACTCTCTTGTTCTTTCCTTGCACCGGCTCTCTTGCATTCTTCGTTAATTTTGAGCAACCTTTCGTTTTCTTTTATGTCTTTCATATCGAGTTTCATCTTTAATTTTGAGCATGTACTCTTTCGTTTTAAGTACTAAATTAATCGTTCTTCTTCCTTTAAACCCTATCTTTTTCTTTTCGTTTTTGATGCAGTTGGACGAGTTTGTTCTCTGCAAGATTTATAAGAGGCCAGGAAAATCATCGGCAACGACTCGGGTGGCGGGAGATCGAGAGAAGGCCAAGGTTGATGGTGAGGACAGAGAAACAAGCTATAACGACTGTGATCTTGATATCCCACACACACAATCATCATTTTATGATGAATGTATTAACATGCATAAGGAAGATCAACCTCTGCAGTGTAGCAATTTAGAGTACCGGCAGAACTTTCCTAACAAGGAGCAGAAAGGGTTTCTGATTGTAACTCTTTTTCATGATTGTATTTCTGAGCAGTTTACTTAGGTTATGTTTGGTTAAAAGAAAAAGATAAGGAAAGGTAAATTTTCCTTTTTTTCCTTTCTTTTTCCTTCAAAACAAACACACACCCTTAATGAATTCTGTCAATTCTCTGTTGGTCGCATGGCACCCCTCCATCTATATTTAATAAATATCAAACCACGGGATAAGCAGGATTTTCGTGGTACTGCGAGTGGACCTCATGTAAACCCTTTCTCTACTCCATCCCTCATTTCTCTGAAAATCGCATGGACCTTTCACGTGTCACACGACTCACCACATTGCTTGTTAAGAGAAAGGACAAAATGCATAATATACGTTGTGGATAAAGGACATTTAAATTTTTCTTTTACATTTATAAATATTATGTGTTTGGTTTCATGAGTAAAGATTTTATACTTGTGTGGTTGTAAAATCGAGAAAAATAATCAATGAGAGCATTTATGATATATAGGTATCATTAGGCACCACATCAACAAAGTATCAATAAATAGGTACTTATAGCTTCCTGAAAAGGGAGAGGAGCACAGATTGCAAATATTTATTCATACGGATGCTTATAATAAAGCCTTTACTACATTGGTGTGTTAATTATGTATTACATAGAGTATGGATAAAGATCACCCCTCCACGAGTCATCCATCAAGATCCTTGCATGTGCAGTCACATGTGACTTAAAATTGTTTAAAAACCTAATTTTGCCCCTCAGAATTTGATTTGCTTTTTTAAATCATTGCTATTGCTGAAGGATTTACCAAATCATTTTTTTATTTTTTATATAAATGAAAGAGAAAAATAAAATGAAGGTTTCAAACACATGGGATCTGAGTAAGAAGAAATCAGTACGATATAGGATTGTCAAGAATTTGATGAAAATCCACCTGTATAGGGATCCGGGCCGCCCGCGACCCGATTATGCAGCAAGCGGGCCAGCCTTGGGCCATGTCGGGCGAGTAAACGGGAGAGATTTTGCTTTTTTTTTTCTTTTTTAAATTAAAATGCCCTCAAATCCTTGTTCATCACCACTGTTCATTGTTTCCCTCCTTTGAGTGCAATTATTGATCGTCTCCGTTCTTTAAACCGTTCTTCAGTCCGAATGAGAATAAAACATATGAGAGTTAGATGAGATGAGGCATGCATGAGCAAATAGATGAAGAGGTTAGGCCTTCTATCAATGAAAAGCCACCCTGAAATAAAAATAAAAATAACAGAAAGAGGAAAAAAGAAACAGCATTGCAACGATTGTTCTTCCTACCCACATATTGTCTATTTTAGCTCAATATGCTACTTAGTCCTGTTGGCCGGTCAATTCACAATTCTGAATTGGAATTACCCCAAACCCTTTTCCTACCGCCACCAACCCAATTTCTTTATTTTCCTCTCAATAAATAATTCCCTATTTTTTATTAAGAACCAGAAGAGCCCTACAAAGACAAAGATCCTTTATACTGAAACTAAATTGGAATTTGATTATCTCATGGGTTTTGCAATAAGAAAAAAAAAAAAAATTTCTCTGGGCTGCAATGCTATATACACAAAAGTTATTATTGGATTTAAAGAAGAAATTTGTTGGAAAAACATGTTTTTTCTCTCGACTGGATAGGAAGTAAATTCGTGATTTTCATTGCCACCATTATTATTAAAGTCATGTTAGTGGAAAGCCAGAAGAAGGAGATGAATGGTTGCATTTCAAATTTCCAATTGCAGAATATAAGAAAGGGCAAATTGGTCTAAAAAATATTTTTTTTTGTCCTTTTCACTCTTTTTGTAATTTCTTTGTAAACGTATCTGATTTTGTCAATCTATCAAACTTCATTAATATGTTTCAATATATTCATAAGCTAACAATAACTTATCTCTTGTTGATGACCTAGGGGATGTTTGGAACCGTGATCGTTTTTCTGAAAAATGATATCACATTGGATCCGCATAGGCATTTCAATAAATGCCTATATATATGATTGTTTAGTTCACACGGTTTTTCAAAATTGCTTGAACCATGGGCATGTCTCGTAAATCGGGACTCCACTGATGCATGAAATGTCAAATTTGATGTTTCATGCATTGGTGAACCGTTGCCCCCAATGGTTGACTGATTGGCAATTACATGTATCCAATGTGGTGCTTATTTGTCAGCACATACATGAAAACCATCACCTTACCAAACAGTGATGAAAATCACCTACGTGGCAGAAACACCTTCAAACAAAACCAAAGCGTTTTTTTTTTTTTTTGAAAAACAGGTCTTGAACGTTTTTTCTTGAAAATTGGTCCCAAAAAACGCCCACGCTTCAAAACACCATCCTAGTAATCGAGATGGTCGTGACTAGACCTGTTCATGGGCCGGCCCGGCCTGGCCCCCAGACGGGCTTGAACGTGGTTATAGGCCCGCAGGCTTAAATTCGGGCCAAAAAGCCCAGCCCACAATAAATTCGAGTTGGGCTCGGGTTTTGTCAAAATAGTCCGACCCGAGCCCGGCCCGACCCGACCTAATATTAGACTTAAAGTGAGTAATGTGATTATGTCCATTTGAATAAATTTTTTGATTTAAGAATGTAAAACAGTGTTTTAAAATATAAAAGAAAGGGGAAAAAAACCATCTTGTAGGCCCATTGTTCATTTAAATAGGAAAAAAAACTATTTGAATTTTTAATTCTAATTTGAATGGGAAATTTGTTTTTTTTTATTAGGTCGGGCTTCGGGCTCGGACTTCAGGCTTTTTATCAAGGCCGGGATTGGGCCCAAGTTATAGGCCCGTTGGTCGGGCCGGGCTCGGGCTTGGGTCTAGCATATTTCCCTTAATGACAAGTGAAAGCCCGGCCCGAACCTGGCCCAACCCGGCCCATGAACAGGTCTAGTCGTGACACCTCTCCGATTATGAGCCATGTGGTCAAATCCGTGAGACCACATACTAATGTGATTGGTCTAATGACAGTTCGGATCAGATAGCCACAAACAAGTCGGGATTTTCTGCACTTGATGTTTGTATATGCTGAGGTGCACTTCCAATTAAAATTGGGGCACGTC